GGGAAGCAGGCAGGAGGGGAGCACAGGCCTGGTACCCCAGCACTGGGGAAGCAGGCAGGAGGAGTACTGCAAATTGAGATTACCTTGGTTTGACCTCAGGGCCCACCAGGGTTTCAGAGAACGATTTTCTTCTCACATACCCAAGAAAGGTCTAACACTGGGGTATGGTAAGAAACCAACAGAGGGCTGTGGAGATGGCTCAGCGGGTAAGCAAGCTCACGAGTTCGGATCCCTGGGACTCACGTTATTTTCTCTCCTCCAATCCTGTGCTGTGGCTCACAGAGGGCCTCGCACACAAATCAGAACCAAAAAAGCAAGTGACTATTTTCTTTTAAAGTTGACCAACGAAGTAACAGCTTTGGTGGGAAAGGTTCATTTTCCTTCTGTTTTTTTGGAGACAGGTCTCACCCTTGCTTAGACAGGTCTTGAACTACCAGACTCCAGCCACCTCCGACCTCAGCCACCTAGGTACTGCCCATGCCCACGGAATGCTGTCTGTTGCTTATTTTGTCCAGCATGGTGACAGAAGAAGGTTGGGGACCTGTCATTCAGTTAGTCTGAAATGACTGACAGTGCCTGTGGGGACTGTGGCCAGAATTCAACACATTTCCTTTTTTTTTTTTGAGACAGAGGTTCACATAGCCCAGGTTGGCCTAGAATTTGCTGAGAATGACTTTGAACTTCTGATCTTCCTGCCACCTCCTAAGTGCTGGGATCACAGGTATGCGCCACAACACCTGGCTCTCAGTGTACTGGGGATGGAACCCAGGGTCTCCTGCATGCCGAGCAATGTCTCTACCCACGGGGCCACGTCCTCAGCCCACGTCTCCTCTCAGCTCCAAACATCCTGGAGGAGTTCGAAGTGAGGGCACAGTTTCCTGTGGAGTACAACATGCAACTGTGCTGCTGTCTGGTACTGTGGAACAGGAAGGATAGTAAAGAGAGGAAAAAGCTAAGCTCTTCCCGGCTCTCAAGTGACGTCTGCTCTGAACCCAACCAAACCGACACGTTACTTACTCTCCCGAGGGGCGGGTCCTTTGAACTGGCTCCGGATGGGCAACAGTGCCATGTTGCCGATGAGCTTGGTGTCCGGGTCCATGAGAGAAGAGTGGTAAGCCTGCAGGGGCCAGCCCAGGGAAGAAAGAGAGAACAAGTGTCACCAGGAGACAGGGCTAGTCCTCCAAAAGAAAATACCCTCAGGACCAACTGTGGGAGGAGTCGGAGGCTATGGGGAGTCAGTGCCTGACTCAAGAGAACCAACTGGTAGATTCTGAGATTCTGTCAGCTGGGTGGTAAACACAGCCACTCCCTCAAACTGAACTGGATATGCAAAACAAAGGCAGGTAGCACCTAAAATCTCATCACTAAAAAAAAAAATAAATAAATAAAAAAAAAATTACACTTTACCACTGCCTTTTACTACATCTTACTAATCTTCTTTTGCTTTGATTTGTAAAGACAGGGTCTCACTATGCAGCCCTGGCGGTCCTGGAACTCACTTTGTAGACCAGGCTGGTCTCGAACTCGAAGAGATTCACCTGCCTCTGCCTCCCGAGTGTTGCGATTAGAATGCACCACTATGTCTGTCTTTATTATTCATGCTCTTTTTTAAAAAATAATTTATTTGCATTTTATGTACATTGGTGTTTTGCCTGCATGCATGTCTGTGTGAGGTGTGGGATCCCCTGGAACTGGGTGCTGGGAGTTGAACCTGGGCTTTCTGAAAGAGCAGCCCCAGTGCTCGCAGCCCCATGCTCTTAACTGCTGAGACGAGCCATTTCTTCAGTCAGGCCGTCTTTGGATTCTTTAGATTCATATCCCCTCTCTCTCTCTCACACACACACACACACAGTTTTTTTTTTTTTTTTTTTTTTTTTTTTGGTTTTTCGAGACAAGGTTTCTCTGTATAGCCCTGGCTGTCCTGGAACTCACTCTGTAGACCAGGCTGGCCTCGAACTCAGAAATCCGCCTGCCTCTGCCTCCCAAGTGCTGGGATTAAAGGCGTGCGCCACCAACGCCCGGCCACACAGTTTTTTTTGAGACTAGGTTTTTTTCTATTTGTGTGTGTGTGTGTGTGTGTGTGTTTATGAATCTGGGTGCTCATGTACAAATGCCAGACGTTATCATCAGGTGACTTCCAGTTGCTTCCCCACATTTATAATCAGCACAGGGGCTGTCATTGAACCTGAAGCTCATCGCCTGGACAGACAGGCGGCCAGCAAGCCCCACAGACCCTCCTGTCTTTGCCTCTCCAGCACTAGGCTTATCGACATATGCCACATCTGGTCACTTTTGTCAAGTCTGAGACTCCAGTCCTCCTGCTTGAGTGACAAGCGTTTCACCGACGAAACCTCCCCAGCACCAGTTCTTCAGACAAGGTCTCACTAAGCAGCCCTAGCTGGCCTGGGACTCCCTAGGTAGACCAAGCTGACCTTGAGCTTACAGAGATCTGCCTCCATGTGCCTCCTGGGATTAGATCCCTAGGCCAGATACGAGGTATGGAGGGTTGTGTTTCCTCCACGTCTGCGTTTGATGCCATGAGCAAGCAGCTGGCAGGCACACTCCACCTCAGAGACAACACTCAACAAGTTTCCCACCCTCCAGCAAACCAGGACCCAAGCCCTAGTTCTGAAATCTGCCACTTCCTGTCTTTATGACCACAGCATGATTCTCCCTTGAACTTGTTTCCCCACCCCCACCCCCTTCAACCACAACAAGTAGCCCAGGCTAGCCTCTCACTTCCTACGTAGGCGAGGATGACCTGAACTTCTTACCCTCCTGCCTCTACCTCCCCAATGATGGGAAGATGAGTCTAGATAACCACAGGACTGGCGATTAAACCCAGGGCTTCGAGAATACTAGGCGAGTGCTCTGTCAACTAAGCTCAGCTCCGGTCCCCACTGGCCTGTTTCTACAGTTGTAAAATGAGTAAGACGCATGACACCTTTGGTGAGTAGGTACAAGCTAAAGGAGAGGGGAACTGCATTGATGAACAGTCTCATATGCTGGTTCCTAGTTTTGGTTTTCATGTCTCCTGTGAACAAAACCATTCATTTATTCATTCATCAAATGATTGCTCAGTACCTTTTTTTGGTGCAAGATACAAATGAGTGACAGTGTGATTTTTTTTTTTTTTTTTTTTTTGGTTTGGTTTTTCAAGACAGGGTTTCTCTGTGTAGCCCTAGCTGTCCTGGAGTGATTTTTTTTTCTTTTTTTAAGATTTTTTTTAAAGTTTATTTTTATTTTATGTATGTGAATACACTGTAGCTGTCTTCAGACACACCATAAGAGGGCATCAGATCTCATTACAGATGGTTGTGAGCCACCATGTGGTTGCTGGGTATTGAACTCAGGACCTCTGGAAGAACAGTCAGTACTTTTAACCACTGAGCCATCTCTCCAGCCCGTGATTTTTTTTTTTTTAAAGATTAAAAAATATATATCTTAAGCCAGGCAGTGGTGGTGCATGCCTTTAATCCCAGCACTTGGGAGGCAGAGGCAGGCGGATTTCTGAGTTCGAGGCCAGCCTGGTCTACAGAGTTCCAGAACAGCCAGGGTTATACAGAGAAACTCTGTCTTGAAAAACCAAAAAAAAAAAAAAGAAAGAAAGAAGCTACATACATTATTTATGTATGTGCTTTATGTATGAGTGCTGTCTGAATATATGTCTGCACACCAGAAGGAGGCATCCAATCCCATTATAGGCTGTGAATTGCCCTGTGGGTGCTAGTAATTGAACTCAAGACCTCTGGGAGATGTCGTCATCCTGAGACTCGGGGGCCCATTTGGACAGTAACTCTAGGTCTTCACATACCTCAAGAGTCAGTAACTGTAGGAATCATAAATATCCCAAAGCTAAACATGGTGATGCAGGGCAGGCTTGGGATCCCAGCTACTTGGGAGGCTGAGGCAGGAGAGGACCACAAATTCAAGGCCAGCCTGGGCAATTTTATGAGACTCCTTTTCAAAATTAAAAAAGATGTGGGAATATAGCTCAGTGGTAGAGCATCTATGTAGCATACCATGAGGTGCTGGGTTCAATTCCCCACTGCTACCCAAGCACATACACACAGCTCTAAGTCATGCTTGCTCTCCTGTTCATTACTAATAAGCCTTATCTATGCCAGCCCTCTTGCCCATATCCCCGGGTCCCGGTACCCCCAACCTGTCACCCGGCACTGCTTTTGTTTTGTTGCACATGATCAAGCACGTGTGCACGCGTGTGTGTATGTGTGTGTACATTCGTGTGTGTGTGCATGTGTGTAAGGACAGAGGTTAATGTTGGGTGTCTTCCTCAAGTGCCTCTAGCTATGTGTGTAGTGTTCACATTCAAGTGTGTGTATGTGTGCATGTGAGTATCTATGTGCACACATATACACACTTTATTTTATTTATTTATTTTTATTTATTTATTTATTTGTGACGGTGTCTCTCACTGAACCCAGTACTTGCTGATTTTGGTTAGGCTGGCTGGCCAATGACCTCAAAGGATCTGCCTGTCCTTTGCCTCACCAGAGCTGGGGTCATAGCACGACCTGCTATACCCTGTAACCCCACATCCTATAAAACAAGCTCTTTCCCCAGCCTCTTTTTTTCCCCATTTCTTTGGAGACAGGCTTTACATCTATGTAGCCCAGGCTGGCCTAGAACTCACTTACACAGTCTACATTAGACTGAAATCTGCAATCCTCCTGTCTCAGCCTTCAAGTGTTGGGATGAGAGATAACTGCCACCAGGGGAAGGCTAGTTGCCGTCTATTTTCTTCATAGCGTTTGTTAAGATCTGAATCTACTTCCTATTTACATTTACATGGCTATTGTCCACCCGTTAAAATATAAGCTCCTTGAGTGGCCCTTAGTCGCTGCTGTTAACAGTGCTGGCTTCACAGTGAGAGTTCAGTAACACTTGTCCAGTGAAGGTAGACGTTATTCAAACATCCCTTTACTAATCTGCAATCAAGCATCAATTTCCTCCCCCTCGGATGCACGCGAGAAAGGAAACTCCTGGAAACCAGACCACCGCCGAGTCAGGGTGGGAGTTACAGCAGGGAGGACGAAGGAAGAGGTCCATCAGGGAAGTGAAGTCTGACAGGTGACTAGTAGCAGGCCGACCCACTCCCTGGGGCGGAGGAGGAAGTGGAAATGACAAGGGGGAAGAAAAAAAAGGAGAAGCTGGACCCTAGATTTAAAAGCAAATTAAAAGCCATCGTTCCTAGGTTCGAGGCTCTAGGGGGGGATCTGGGAACACGGCAGGACTAGGGGGAAAGCAGCGGGAGAGAGCCGGTGCTGGAGGCAAAGGCTAGAGAACAGGACCGAAGTTTCCTCTCTCCCAGGCCTTCTGACGCAGGTCTCCCGCCTCCCTTCAGGCCCTCGCCCCGCTCGGCTCCCCGCCCTTGGGGCTCGAAGCCTTACCGGCATCTTGACGGTGTCCGGATTCGATCCAGAGACGCCGAACCCCGGTAAAAGGCAGCAGCGTTTCCGCCGAACTAGCCTGGGTGGAGTGGGCGGAAGTAAGCCGGAAGAGGCGGGCGAAGTGAATAAATGAACTTCCGGTCCCGCTTCCGCTGTTGTTTGCTACGGCTGCGGTGATCGCAAGGGACGCCAGAGGTCGCGCCAGCAGTAAGCGCTCAGTGTGACGCATGCGTAAAGCGCTCTCAGAAAAAAGGCTGGGCTTTGGAATTGAAGAATCCGTCTTAGTTAATAATCAACTCCCGATTTATTCTTCATCCCCTGGCTTCAGCTTCAAATCCAATACCACTCCCCTGATTTACCCTTCTGTTATATCTGGTTTTTTATTTCTACCACAGTCCAAGTGGGGGAAATCGGTTCTTAATTTCCACTGAGACTCTCGGGATAAACTCAGTCTTCAGAAACTTACAACACTGAGCCGTCTCGGTGGCCATTATTTTTAATTTTTAAATTTTTATTTTTTTTTAAGAGTCACATGACGTCCAGGCTGACATATCCATATATATGAATATGAACTTACCCGGCTCCACTTGTATTCAGGAATTACAGATGTGTGCCCATCACATCTGTTAGTTTTGATGCCTACTGTGGTGTTTCTGTCTCCCTATCTTCCTTGTCATGTTAAGACAGTCAGGAACCACTACAGGGGTAAAGGGCAGAAAAGTCCTGGGCCTACCCCTTGACCTGTCTGTCACCCACTGAACTTGTATCATGTATCACTTCTACTCCTTCAACAAGGTCTTCCCCGCAAACCCACCACTGTCCTCATCATATATGTAAGTATGTATTTTAGAGTCTCTTTTTTTTTTTCCAGACAGGGTTTTTCTGTGTAGTCCTGGCTGTCCTGGAACTCACTCTGTAGACCAGGCTGGCCTCGAACTCAGAAATCCGCCTGCCTCTGCCTCCCAAGTGCTGGGATTAAAGGCGTGCGCCACCAATGCATGGCATATCTTGAGAGTCTTACTGTGTAGTCCTGGCTAGCTAGCCTGGAACTTGCTTTGTAGACCAGGCTGCACTCCCAGGCACTGAGGGTATAGGCTACCTCAGTACCCAGCTAACTACTTTTTATGTTTTTGAGACATGGTATTAACTATGTAGCCCAGGCTGGTCTCTACAATGTCTGGCTTGTACCCCTGTTCTTTGTATAACCGACAAGGAGCCAGGTCCTGGGTTTGAATCCTAGTTCCAACATGACTAGCTGTGTTATTCTGGGCAACTTAATTTACCTCTCTGTGCCTCTGTTCCTCACCTAAATATAGAGGCTCCAGTATTTACCTCATTGTTTAAGGAGGCTGAAATAAGCGACAAGAAAAGTAGTAAGAATTAACATACCTGAGAACCTGTTTAATGGGAGTCCAGAGACCAGAGACCAGGATGTTTTCAGCTCTGCCATACTCCTAGGCCACAGAAAGTCACCAGGCAGCTCAGCCAGTCAAGGTATAGACACGTGACTCTTCCCCTGAGCCTTGGCCTCCAGGTGCCAAGCGAATACTGATTCAAAGGGAGCCTCACTTGGCTTTATTGAAAATGGATCAAACACAGCACTACGGGACACCATGACAACATCTGACCTGAGTTACATTTCTGTGAGGGCTTAATTAGCGTCACCAGGTAGACTGGTCACCAAATAACCTTGGGCCTTATTGCAAGGATTCAATGAGAGAGATTATGGACAATGCTCTGTAACGTAATGCCTAACTGAACTTAATGAGATCCAGCCTCCCTCTGTCAGAGCCTGGCCTGGGAAGGATGCTGGAGCAAAACCTTCCAGCTGTCTGCTCCCCATGGCCTGCACAACACCTGCTGCCAATGGACTCTGAAGAGTTGAAAGTAATTCAATATAAGTTAAGAAGAAAAAGTATTTCTTCTGCTTCACGGCATTCAGTATTCCAAGAAAATCTAAGCTTTTAAATTCTCAGAGACTACAAACAAACCAAATTTGTTTTTTTTTTGGTTTGTGTGTTTTTCCCATTTTTGAAACATGGTCTCACTATGTAGCCCAGACTGGCATTGGTCTCATGGAAATCCTACCTCAACCCCTCGAACCCTGGGACCACAGTCAGGAGCCACCATGTTCACACAGACACACACTAGATCTCTAACAGTCGCTGCCAACATTTTGACCCCTGGGGAAATCAGCCTGTAAAGAGTTTTTCTGGAATGTGTTCCAAAGTCTGCCTGGAAAACAAGAGTGCAAACAGGACCTGTTTCTTTCCTATACATGCACCCATATACACAAATCTCAAACACAGTTTTCATTTTTAATTATATAAATAATACATGTTTGATTTGGGAAAATAAGATTTATGTATATGCTTCTAATTTTTTTAAATTTTGATGTAGATATCTATTTTTTGTAACAATAATTTGTACCTCTCCAAAAACAAGTAAGTCAAAAGAAGACCCCCTCAAAAAATAAAAATCCAATTGTAAAAGTGAAGTTCCACTGGCTCTAATTGCACGCGCAAGCACACACACACATATACACACAAGAGATGTATGTGTGTGGCTAGATTGATTTATACTATATACAAGTCTATGTGCATTAATTTCTACTTTGATTTTTTTTTTTAAATACAAACAATACTGTCAGGATAAAGTCTCCTGGAAGAGCAGCAGTTTCAGAGCTCAGAGCACAAGCCAGGCCTGCTCACTCGATCGGTCACTCACTGGCTCAGCCCTGGAGCCCAGTGTTCTTTACAGGCACAAGCAGCAGCTTCCCAAAGTTCTTCTCCTACACCGTCCAGGAGGAGAGCACCTCACAGCTCGGCCGCAATCGGGATGGTGGCTTCTTAGTCAACCTCACTCATCCTGCCGTTCTTGAAAATACTCATCAAACATGGAGGAAGACTCTTCTTCATGCTCCTGATACAAAGGAAACACAGCACAGACCATGCATCCCTCCTCGGGACACCTCATGCTGAGTTCACACAGTGAACAGACCACGCCTTCCCTCCTCGGGACACCTCATGGGAGTTCACACAGTGAACAGACCATGCCTTCCCTCCTTGGGACACCTCATGGGAGTTCACACGGGGAAGCACAGCTCACCTTCGGCTCCTTAAACTCCAAGTCCTCCCCGTACTGAATGGCGAAGTCAATGTGCTGGAGCACGATGTTCATGCTCTCCTCATCTGACTGATCGTACGGCAGAAAGCGGACCATGCTGTAGTCGTCAACCTACACATGCGGGGTGGGAGAAGCGGGCTCTCTGACAGTGCAGCAGACGTTTCCCACTGCAGGTTTAATAATTTTTATTCTCCTTAAAAGCATATGTGCAGGCTGGAGAGATGGCTCAGGGGTAAGGTGCTTGCTGCCGAGCTCGCTAAACTTAACCACCTGACCTGACCTTGATCCTTAAAATCCACAGGATGGAAGGAGAAGATAATCAACTCGTGCAGACTGTCTTCCTGGCATACATGCACGCACACACACTTACAAGCATGCCCCCATACACACAAATAAAGGTAAGCAAGCAAACACTCACATGCACTAGGACTGGAAAAGGAGCCCTAGAGACAGACAGCACAACTCTGGCTGACACTTCTGACCTGCTAGCACTGAGCTGACCCACTGTGGCCTGTCCCACTGCCTAAGCTAATCATCAAGCCCTCCCCACCCCACCCCAGCTTTTCATAGGGGATAGCACTGGACTGTGCTGCACACAGGTGGACACTGGCTAGCCATGGGCAGACGCCCGAGGAATCACTGGAGAAGGCCTTAAAGGAACCACTCCGACACTTACCAAACCACATATGGCTTTTGTCAACTTCTTGAATTTTTGGCTTCTTAAGTCACCTGTTGAATCTTCTAGCAGAGAGTACATGTCTGGATCTAGAAACCTTTAGTGAGAAGGAGACAAGGGAAGGAGGAGTACACGAGGGAAAAGACCACAGCCCGAGCCTGTCTCAGGGCAGAAGGCTCGCTCAGCCCTCAGTGCTGTGCTGGGGACTGCGGGCCCTGAACTCACTTCTCAATTTCCTTCTTGGCTTTCTTACTCAGCAGGTCCATCTTCGTCATGATGTTAATCTGTGGGATCTCTAGAGAAACCATGGCGCTCAGGGCCGCCAGGATGCCAGAGAGGAACTGGGGAAGGAAGGAGAGACCACGGACAAGACCCGTTACTGCCAACAAGGCCTCCCGACTCACCGGTGCCCGACTAAAGATACTGCTCTTACAGGGAAAGACACTTGCTAAGAAGGTGGCGGAAGCCCGGCCTTGAAGGAGAGAAGGAAAGATGTGAGCTCATCTACAGGACCAGAGGGGCGTGGAAGGCCTTTAATCCCAGCTGCACAGATGAAGATCGAGTTCTGGGCCAGTCTTTGCCATACAGAAAGACTGTCCCAACCCATCGATGAGTCACTTGATCTACCTTGGTCACATCTCTGGATTCTGACCATGACAGTGGCCTTCTTCCTGACTGACACCCCTCAAGACTACAAATGAGAAAACACAATCTCTAATTTCTAAACGGGACTAAAGGTCTTCAGAAAATGACAAGATTTTTCTGCTTAGTTTTCATCTTTGTATTTGGGATGCTGTCTTACTCTGTAGCCCAGGCTAGGCTTGAACCTGCAGTGACCCTCTCGCCTCGGGCTCCTGAGTGCTGTGAGTGCAGCACTAACCACGCACCCAGCTCGGTGTTTTAAATCCGTATCTAATACAACGCCCGTCTGCCTCAATTCCCATTTCACAAGCAGGCCCCCAGTCTATTTTTCTTCTTATTTTTTTTGAGACAGGGAACTCTGGCTAGCCTGAAACTTGATTTCTAGTCCAGGCTGGCCTTGAACTCAAAGAGATCCTTCTGACCCTGCCTCCTGAGTGCTAGGATTAAAGTCGCCACACCCAGCTAAATCTATTTCCTAGGTAAACATACACTGACATAGTAATTTGACCATTGGAGATACTAAATAAATGTTACAGCCTATGAAATACAGAGACTCACACGGAATGAGCAGAGACTGTCACTTGCTTTCTACCCTGGACTGAAAAATCTACAAGAGATTCCTCCTCAGACCTTGAATGACTCCACCATGAACTGAGAGTCAACAAGGAAGACGCCGCACACTCGGAACTCCCACTGCTCAAGCTGCTGGACCAACTGCTTCATTACAGGCAGGTGGGTGTAGAGCTCGATCTGACCTGCAGTGGGAGCACAGAACAGCAGTCAGGAACCCGGTTATACAGCACCTGCACACAGGATGCCGCCGGGATGGAGTGACAGAGGGAAGGGCGCACAGTGGACGCACGCCTAGTGTATGCGACACCCTTGGTTCAAGCCCGGTACTGAAAGAGAAGGACATCAGATCCTGCTACACGTCCAGGTGTTTTGCTTTGTGTTGTCTGTGGCGCTCTGGACTAAACTGCAGACTTGAGCATGCTAGACATACATGCTATGACAGTCCATCCCCTCAGACTATGCAGTTTTTCCTTTGACTTTTGTGGGTTTTTCTTTTCTTTTTTTAAATTTATTTTATTTATATGAGTACACTGTAGCTGTCAGACACACCAGAAGAGGGCATCAGATCTCATTACAGATGGTTGTGAGGAACCATGTGGTTGCTGGGAATTGTACTCAGGACCTCTGGAAGAGCAGCCAGAGCTCTTAACCACTGAGCCATCTCTCCAGCCCCCTTTTGTGGGTTTTTTGCATTCTGTTCCTGAGCTTGATTGTTTTGATATATGTATGTCTGTATGTCATGTGTTTGTAGGTGCCTGTGGAGGCCAGAGCAGGGTGTCAGAGCTGAAGTTGCAGGGAACTGAACTCTGATCCTTTGGAAGAGCAGCAAGTGCTCTTAACCTCTGAGCCACTGCCCCATTCCCTGCACTCAGCTGTTATGGGGGCATTACAGGCTCCCAGGACAATCATAGAACCCAAGGTACAGCCACCACAGGGACATCAAGCAGACTTTTTTTTTTTATTATTTCTTTTTTCCCCAGAGCTGAGGCTGGGGATGTAACCCTGTGGTAGACTGCCTCCCTGACATGAACTAGCCCAGAGTTCAACCCTCAGCACAGAAAAACAGTAACAAGCACAAAGAGACAGTTTGGGAATATTCATACTCATCACACACACACACACACACACACACACACACACACACACACACACACACACACGCATGCACCTGAGCAACTGAAGGCTACACATGAGGGAGGCTGGCCAGGCTCCAGTGACAGCTCACACAGCACCTCACACCACTGCTCCCACCTAGCCACCCCACCTCCCACTGGACCTTAAGCTCCAGGGCCCTGGCTCCCTCATTCTTAAGGTGGTTCTCAGTATGCACTTGATAAACCCAAGGGGTAAACTGGAGCCAACTGGCTTCCGCAGTGTAGTTGTTCACTACTGTCCCCATGAGGACGCAATGTCACAGCTTCAGGGCAGACTGTACATTCAAGTTGCTGATGTACCTGGACAGTCAAAAAGGATGTAATCGTCCTCCACGTGGCCTAGACAGTTCTCCAGCCAGTCAAAGTTATTGGCGAAGTACTCCATGCAGAATACCAATCCTCCGTTGGGACCAAACCGCAGGGAATCGTCCTCCATCACATCGTCCACCTCGATCAGTTCCCGGATGTCTGGAGAGCCAGGCAGGGACCAGAGTGAGTATCCACTTGGAAAACTTAAATCAACAGACAAATAAAAAACTCCCACACAGGGCCGGGATGATGGCTCAGTGACTAAGGGTGCTTGCACACACGTGTGAGGACCAGAGTGTGAATCTCTGGCACCCGTGTAAAAAGCTGGGTGTGGCCGTAATCTGTAACTGCAGTGCTGTGGGCAGACACAGGAGGGTTGCTGGGGGGGGGGTGTTTGTGTCCAAGGTTCCGTCAGAGACCCTGCCTCAAAGGTGGAGAGTGAGAGCCCAAGACAGCTGCCTGAGCACCACTGCAGAGATCTCACACAGCAGAACACTATGCAGACATAAGAGGGGAGGGGAGCTCTTTTTTGTGTGTTTGTGTTTTGTTTTGTTTTTTGAGACAAGGTCTTAGACCAAGCTGTCCGAGCACTCACAGAGACCTGCCCGCCCTGCATGTGAGTGCTGGGATTAGAGGCGTTCACTGCCACGCCCGGCTTGGAGGGGAAGCTCTTTGAGCTCTGCTACAGAACAAGCTCCAGGTGTATCATTAAGTGAAATATTTAAGGCATAGAACATCCTGTAAGAATCAAATGTGAAGAAGAAAGCTGTCTAAGATGGCCCGCACTACAGTCTTAGCTCTTGGGAGCGTGAGGAAAGACGTCTATACAGCTGGGTCCTGTTTCAAGGCAAAAACCAAGCACAACAAAATACACAAGTCCACTGCACACACTTTATATATACACTCAGGCTGGATTTCAGAGGCACAAGTTGCTTATGGAGGAACAAATCAGAAACTAGCAACACTGGCTACCTAAAGCAGCAGGCTTGACTGCTGGGCCACGATTCAGGAGATTTTCCCATACACTTCCTCCTCTGTGTGGTTCACATTTTGAACCATTTGGCTATGTAGTGCCTAAATCAGGAAGTAAGCTAAAATGAAGCCAACTGCTACCTCTTAACTTGATGACCAAGAAGTCACTTAACTCCCGAGCCTGATTACAAGTTGGAGGTGGGGAGGGGAGCACTAACCCCAGGGTGGGAGGATGAGGACTGTGTGACTGACCTCCAGAAAGTCAGTAATCTAAACAGAGCAGGAAGTTGCCCTCTGTGAGGCCCCGAGTCCCTCAAACATCTTTCCCCTTAAGGAAACTGAGTGCTTTTAGCCACGTGATCCAAAAGCGACAGCCTGCCTTTCTCTTGAGAGCCAAGAAGATGGTTTCCACTTCCTCCTCAGCCTGCTCCCCAACTCCACCTACTAGAGGGCCACACTCTCCTCAAGAACACACCCCTGGCTCACATCTGTGACCCCAGCAGTCAAAGGTAAAGACAGGAAGTTTAGAAGTACAAGGCCATCCTTGGCTACATCAAGAATTTGTGGGCAGCTCTGGCTATGTGAGACTCTATTTCAAACCTCAAGCTAAAATAAAACATTCTGTGGCTGCTTCCACTCTGCAGAACTTTCTCCCCTGCTCTCTGTCCCCTCCCACCAGCTGTTGGTCCCCCTTCTCCACCGATAACTCTGGTCAAAGCTGCCAACCTCACCATGGTCCCACATCTGTCACCGTCTTACAGAACTGCTCAGTTAGACCTATGTAAATAATCCCTCTATCTTGAAAAATTCCTTCTTGTCCTTCCTGAAGCTTACTGATGCCCCTCCTCTAACAGCCTCCAAAGAACACACAGCTTCGGGGCTCGGCCTCTGTCCCTCTTTAACCAAACTCCCTCCTAACATGAGGTCATCCCTCCTGGAACTTAATGAGATTTTTTTCTTCACTGCACAAACATCTGTCTGCATCTTCCATCTAGGTGAGCAGCTTCTGTTTGAGGTTTACTGTTTTTAATTTAAAATTAAATTTAACTTAAAAACTGCTTTGTTTTGTTTCCCTGACACTGAGGCTACAAGTGTGCACCACCTCACTTGGTGTTAGGTGGTTCTGAAGGTAAAACCCAGGGCTTCGTGTGGCCTAGGCAGGCACCCTACCACTAAGCTACACCCCAGCCCTGAGCCTCAGCTTTTTAAGCCAGCACAGGCACTGCTTACTGTGGACAAACCATCTTGCCACCAACTTACCAGAGTAAGCAACAAAGGGACCAGAGGGAAAGACAGGGAGGCAGGAGCCCACTCACCTTGGAGTCTCCCAGCAAAGACCAGAAAAGGAGGCCATCGTACCCACAGCCACAAACACCACCACCAATGAATGGCCCATGGCCTCATCTCACTCATCATGAAACCAGGGGTGAACACTGAGTAACTGAGCGCCAGCTTCCAGTGCCTTCTGAGCTTTACTGGGCCTTCAGAAGGTGGCCCTGTGGGGACTTACCAGCCATCACTGGGTAGCTGAAGTGTTCTGCTGCCGGGTCCAGGTTGACCACCTGGACTGATCGGTTGAGGGCTTCACAGTGCTGAACCATGGTGGAACAGTAGGTGCTCTGTAATGTTACAAGGTGGGGGGTTAGTGTCCAAGGCAGTATGGTGCCACCTCCACACTCCCAGACACTTCTCCCCTCTCAGAGAACATCTTGTTCTCTCTACCTGGGACAACCCCTCCATAAAGATGCATTGCAACTGACAGGTGAGCGATGTACCTTCCCAATCAGATGACAGGCTGTGGTGGAGCCACATGACATCTCTGGTACTCTGAATATTGTGTTTATCAAATATCAAAACGATACAAACACCTCCACACACTCTAGGAATCACTCAAATGTCATCATTGACTGTTCTTCTGTGCTTAGTGTCCCTGGCATCTTTCCCTTAGTATGTACTTACAAAGAAACACTGTATCTTTAAAATAAAAACCAGAGCCTGGGGGTGGGGTGGTAAACACCTTTAATCCCGGCGGATCTTTGTGAGTTTGAGGCTAGCCTGGTCTACAGAGTGAGTTCCAGGACAGCCAGGGCCTCACAGAGAAACCTGGTCTCAAAGGGGAAAAAAGAAAATAAAAGAAAAAAAGCTGAGTCTAACGGAGCACACCTTTAATCCCCGGACTTGAGGAGGCAGAGGCAGGCAGATCCCTAAACGGCAGACTAGATAGCACCATGTACATATTGAGTTCCAGGCCACTTAAGAGCTAACATGACTCTGCTTCAGAAACAAAGAACAACAAAAAGACACACACTCCACCCACCCACACACACACACAACGAGGAAAGAAAGCCTGCTATAAACATTCTTTGGGGACCGGAGAGATAACACTTAAGAGCACTTGCTGGTCTTGCAGAAGACCGAGGTTTTCTGCAAGTGACAGCTTCTTCTGGTACCTTTGGGCAGTGCCCACAAATGGTGCGTATATACACACATATACCCGTATCAGAAACCCATACCCCAACTTTACCCCCTCCCCTCCCCCCTGGCGTTGGAATGGAACCCAAGGTCCAAACTTCTGAGAAACAGGAAAGAAAAGACTTCATACTCGGTGTGTGGCAGAAGGCCTGTTTTGGAATTAGACAAAAACAGACTGAAATTCTGGGCAGAACTAAGCGTGTGGTTCTGAAAAAATAAACCTTTCTGTGTGTGTAATCTGTAGAATGGGTATATAGGATCAAGCACACGGAGCGGTTACAGAAACACCTGGAACGACCAGGGCAGTTCTTGGAGCAAAGGTATCTACTGCTATTATTTTAAAGGTATGTATCGAGAGTGGGTACGCGCACTTGAGGGCACGGTTCGTGGAGGTCTGAGGCTGGAGTTACAGGTCAAAACAAGCTCTTAAGCGCGCAGCCATCTCTCCAGCCGCCCCAACAGCTTATTACTCCCAAACAGAAACAAGGTACAAGCAGAGAGCCGAAGCCAATTACCCAGGGTTCCCCGGGGCCCAGCCGCCCACGAACCGCAGCTCCTCGAGCCTCACCTTCCCGCTGCCCGCGGGGCCCATGACGAGCTGCGCATACCGAGGCATGCCGGCGCTCCCGGTTCACACAGCCGACTGCCACACTCCCTTCAGCCTTCGCGCGACGGCCACCGAGTTCCGGAAACGTGGGTAGGAGCCAATCGCAACCGAGATCGCTTGTTCGTCACTGGTATTTACTACACGCGGGACTACGGAGCGTCCCAAGGGCCAAACGCCTTGTGAAGCGCGTACCGTGGAAAACGAGGAGGCGGAGACACGCAGTTCGCGCGTGCGCAGAGAGAGAGCTGCGAGCCGTTGTCCGTTGGCCCCCGGGCGAAGGCGGTTGCCTGGGTGATAGCGGATCGTGGATAACGCTCCGCGCCCCGGGGCCGCAGCACTGATTCTTGGGGTTGAGTCATAGGGCGCCATCCCAAGGTTTGCAGAGCCTCAGAGGGTCTAGAATACTGAGGTGGGAGGCGCTTTCGCTTTAGGGTGCGTGTGTATGGATTGGCCCTGACGCGTCCTTGTCGCGGAGAGAGATGCCAAGGCGCAGGAGCCTGTTTACCTGAGGTTACTCCGCCTCGGGTCTAGCTCCAGGATCTCGGGTCTTCTTCCGCACCATCCGGGAGCTGCTTGAGCAGGGTCGGCGGTTAGAGCCGGAGGCCACGGACTCACAGCGGGTGTGGCGCACGCGTGAGGACGGGATGCCGAGCCGTTGTCCCGGGGTCGCGGGGCCGCCCGCCTTGGCCCGGGCGGAAGGCGGCGAAGGGTAAGGCCTGGAAAGCCCTGCTGAGGAGGCGCGAGAGGGGGAGAGGGCTCTAGTGGGGCCGGGACTCGGCCGCCGAGGCGAAGGGCGGGCGAGGCGGCCTCGGGAGCAGGACAGCGACTGCGGCCCACTCGCGTTTTCTGCCCCTAACCTATCGGGAACCTCGGGCCTAGCCGCCCCGGGCCTGGGAAGATTTTAACTATTCCCTAGACGGTTGAGGACAGTTGCCTTCTGATGTCACAGCTGGATGCCATGCTTCCCTGTCCCCCCCTCCTGACCTCTTAAAATCAAGAGCAGGGATGACTGGGATCCAACTAGGCCCACAATCATGGCTCTTGTTGAAAACGTGGCCATGACATAAATATATTTTTGTTTATTAAGTATATACTTATTATTAAATGTACATTTTATTGTACATGTATATATTTGGTGCTAAGACTTAAAAACATGCGATGGGGTCCTGTTACTCTCAGTGTGCTAGCTCAGTGGACTCACGGTCACTGAGAAACTACAGGAAGCAATTTCACTTTTTGAGAAAAGTAAAAAGAAGGGATGCAAGATTGGAAACACTATAAACCAACGGACCAGTTCCTGCACAACATACTCTTTTCAGTACAGAAATTTTATTAAAGAACAAGAAAGATAGCCTGTGGATAAGTACAGGAGCCAAACAAACTACATGCTGGATCTCACTGTAGAATTAGGCTAGGAAGCTATAAGACCAAATGTAAGTCCTTTCTGGCAAAGTAAAAAGGACTAGGAATTCAACGCAGTGGTAGTAGAGCACTTGTTTAGTGTTGGTTAGCCCTGGGTTCTATCTCCTAGTAGCACACGCACGCACACACACACGCACACGCATGCTCATCCTAGTATGGTAAAAATCTGACCGCTCACTTAGAAAAAGCTTTATTCTTTTTTGTAGCCAAATTAGAGGAGAAAATTCGCAAGACGTTGATGAAAACAGGAAAAAGTGAAGAGCGTGTGTAGCTGTCTCTGTTCTAGACATTCCGTCCTCATTGGCTGTCAGGCTGCCGGATCACATATTATAATACATATATTATACATATGTGTTCTTTTCTAACAGATCAGCTGGACATCCTTATCACCAGACTTCCAAAGGCACTGGCGAGCAGCATAAAGCAGGTAATGCATATGGATCACAGATTGAGAGAAACCAGGTTACCTGTGACTAGGTACACTGTGGAGTTTTACCAGTAGGCTCAGAGGGCTGGCAAGATACCACAGCAGCCAAGGATACTTGAGGTCAAGCTAGACTACCTGAGATCAGTTCCCCCAGAACCCACGGGGTAGGAGAGAACTCTTTTTTGAGTTGTACTCTTTCAAGAGTTTCAAAGATGAGCTCTTTGCCTTTTGTTAATATATAACGATTCTTTTTAAAGTACCAATGAATTATAAAAGAAGGGTGTTCAGAATTAGCAATGATCGGAAAGCACGTGGCATTCCTGTTGTTTACACATGGACTAAAGGGAAGAATCCTGCATGAGCCGCTTCAAAAGCCATGAACTGTTTCACAGGGAGCACTTTCAAAATGCTTCTCTTCTGATGAAGTTAAGAGAGAGAGGGAAAAAAAAAAAGCCCCTAAAGGCCTCTTACTAATTTTGCAGGTTAAGGGTTAAGGGGAGGTAGAGTGTGTTGTCTGTCCTTGGTGACATGAGTGTGTCCGCAGGATGCTGAAGGACAACTCTGTGGAGTCACTTCTCTCGTTCTGTTTTGCAGTCCAGCGCAGATCGCCAGACATGCTGGGCAAATCCTTTCCCATCTTGTCAGGCCTGCCTCTCATTTTTATTTTGCACTGAACTGCTGATGAGTGATTCTGAACATCTTTTTATGTGAGACATGTCAATTCCAGATGTTTGTGCACTCTAAAAATAAATTGCTTCAGGATAATCACTGGTAAATGATTATCTCTGGTAAGTAAATATGTCTTATCAATAATCTTTGCCTACAGACAGAATCAAGGAGGGACACAGAGTGTACTTACACATCGCCAAACTGCAGGAGTTATGGAAAACTACTCAAATCCAAACAATTCCTATCCCTAAATCAATGACAGATGCGTCTTTTCTAAAGGTAAGACAGAATTTGAAATTTTAACTGTGGTGTATGTGGAAGTCAGGAAAGCTTGTAGGAACCAGTTCTCTCCTTCCACCCTATGTGTCCTAGAGGTCACACTCAGGCTCTCAGGCTTGGCAGCAAGTGCTTGGCTTGCTGAGCCATGTTGCCAGCCCCTGAAATGTTTCTGAAGGATGCCTAATATTAGGTCCAGGGCCTTAAGCATCCACAGCAAGCTCAGCTACCATGCTGCAAGTCCAGAACTTGTGTCTGAAGATAGAGATTAAGGCCCTGCAGCCTACATGGTATACCTAATATACTGTCAATGAGTCCATGAGGGGAGCCCCCTGCAGTGGTGACCTTATAACACTGTGGATGGAGCCTGTTTTTCTTCTGGCTCTTTCCTTTGAACACCCTTTTCTTGACTCTGGGGATTTGTACTTGTGCACATACCCACACACAGACACACAATTTTTAAAAATTTAGGTTGGAAACTAACTTACAGTATGTTCCACAGACATAGCAGATAGTTTTATGCTTCTGGAAAAGATGTTTCTTTAGTTGTGACATGTTACTGTTAATATTTAATAAAAGGGGCTGTGCAGGCCTGACTATCTAAGCGGTGGTGGCTTTGTCTAGCTCAGGCCACCATGCTCCGAGGCCTGAAACCAAGCGCTCCACAGCTGGAAGCAGCCAGAGGCCACGGGCACACCATAGCTAGAAAGGCCAGCCAGAGACACAGGCCCTGGAACCCACGAGACACTAGCATGCAAGAAGCCTCTGCCAATCTTCCACGCTGTCTCCACAAGGCTGGGCTGAGCCCAGACCATCTCACCATTTACGCGATACCCAGTAGAAATGAAACTCTATAATGTTTAAAGATTATCCAATAGTTTATATATTTAGTAATACTCAAATAACAAGAAGCCCACATAATTAGAGGTGTTACCCAATACCTAACCTAGATGTTACACCTACCTTAGACTGCTGGAGACACGCGTACATCTGTCATCTTTTTCTCCTCTCTCTCCTCCTCTTTACTCCTCCCACATTAGCTCCTCCCAAAATACCGAGCTTAATATCGCGGGGAGTTATACTGCTACAGAGACAGAACAAACTAAGGAGCTTTCAGGTACCACCATCTTATACCTCAGAAATCATTGTAAGAAGACAAGGGCAGGGGACATGGCTCAGCTGGTGACGGTGTTGGACACCAAGCCTGAACCTGCATTGAATTCCTGAGATCCACACAGTGGAAGAAGACAACCAAAAGCTACAACCTCCACATACACTCACAAACACTCCAACAGTCTCATACACATGCACACGACAGGAAATAATCAGTCAGTCAGTCAAGCACCATATCCGACTTGAGAAAGGTGATGGAGGCTAAAGCTTATGACAGAGAGCAGAGCCCTTTTTTAGTTTTTGGTTCCTTTGGTTCTCAAAGCTCAGAAGATAGATGAACGATTGTAGGTGACAGCTACACCATTTGCATGTTTTAATAAACTGTCACTTCCTTCTCCTCTGGGCAACGTGAGATAACTGAATTTGCTTGTGGGAATCACAAAGATGAGGTGGGACAGCCCTCAACATCCATCCTTTCAGTAAGAAGACTACTGACCTGTGTTCTAGTGTCCGGGGTCTCTGCGACTACCAAGGCCTCCACTGTGTCAGTCTGTGAGAGATAAGGCAGTTCAGTTCAACACAGCTCAGTAGCTGGTGTTGGTTCAAATGTCAAGAGTCTTACCTTGAGTACTTTATTTTAGGCATATATAAGCACAGCGCAATTTGGGAAAATGTTTCCTAGTGTAAATAACTCAGCCCCATGTACACAGCAGAACTTAAGACATGACTACATCTAAACTCTTTGTAAAGTAGAAGATAGGTACTATAGATTAACTGAGGGAAGAGGCTCAAGGGTCTTTCCTTGACGAGGGTCTGGAGGAGCATTATCTGTGTGCCCCATCTACCTTTCTCAAGTCGGACGGATATGGTGCTTGACTGACTGACTGACTGATTTCCTGTCTTGTGCATGTGTGTGAGACTGTTGGAGTGTTTGTGAGTGTATGTGGAGGTTGTAGCTTTTGGTTGTCTTCTTCCACTGTGTGGATCTCAGGAATTCAATGCAGGTTCAGGCTTGGTGTCCAACATCGTCACCAGCTGAGCCATGTCCCCAGCCCTTGTCCCTTAGGAGAGGTGGCCCTGAGTATTTGACATTCCTAGTTCTCCCAGTGTTTATCTGTGAACACAAGGACCTACATGCCTCCTACACTGCAGCGGTCAACAAGCCTCTGTTCTGTTTTTCAGCATCCAGAGCTCACCTTGGGCCAGAAGCGCTACCTGTGCAGCATTGCTAAGATCTGTAACTCCAGCTATCTGAGGACCTTAATGAAGAGGCAGTACATGCATCTATTTCATCATGGGTCACAAAAGCCAGGCAGGTCACAAAACTGTTTCTTGTCAGTTCTTAGGAGAAGGGAGAGTGTCTTCTAAGAGGTGATCTGTGTTCCAGGTGTCCTCGCTCACCACAGAGGCCACATCAGCTCTCGCTACTCACAGAAGCAGCACTCCCCCTGTACTACATGGAGACACCATCTGGAGAGAGAAGACTCTCTGAGCATTGCAGCTGAAACACCTGAAATGATCATACATTCCCTTTGGAGACCCCTGAGACACAAAGAAGGGTCTGTCTGTTTCTTGAGTTTAAGAAGGAAAAACTGTCCCCAGTTTTGTGTGAAGGGGATCCTCCTGAGAGTAACACTCCATTTTCCTAATACGTTCACCAGCTAAACTCAGATAAAGGAGCTTACTGCCGCTTCATTGAAATGAGTGGGATATGATACTCAAGGGCGTTTGAGTGTCCGTGACAGGACATATAACCCAGGTGTGCCTCAGACGCGGGGTAATCTCCTGCCTCAGTTTCCCACATGCTAGCAGTATAGGTGATCTCTTAGTACTTGGGAGGATCAGGAGGCTAAGGGCATCTTGGTCTACTTGAGGCATGCTTGGACTACATGAGATTGTGTTTCAGAAAATAACCCATATCTTGTAACACAGAAGTGTCAGTATCCAAACTGTAATAACAGTGCTGTACTTCAGGGTTAACAGATCACAGGAGAATCTGGGGAATGAGGGTCTTTGGTAATCCCAGCACTAGTAAAAAGAATCTTATTTTATGTTTGAGACTGAAAGCACTGTTCACTTTACTGTCTACAATTAACATATTTCTCCTTATTACAGGTTAAAAATTGGATATGCATCTAAAACAAGATGCAAGTCCCTGAAGATTTTTAGAAGACCAGGCAGACTGTTCTTGCTACCAGGTAAATGTGGAATTAAACACACATAAACACATCGAGCTATGGATTTGTGTTTCTGAAATAAGGTCTCATAGAACTGACCTTGTGTTTCTGCCTCTAGGCACTAAGGTTGTAAGTGGCAGGGTTACCATGCCTGCTTTGCACTTTCGAACACTTTGCTTAAAAAAATACGAAACCAAATAGTCACTTTATTTAAGTCAATTAAACATTTTAAATGTGATGAGCTCTGTTTAAAATAAAAACTATCCATGGCAGTACAGCATAGGTCCCAGGGCAGAAGCAGTGACTGAGTTCCACGGCAGCCGGCTCTATATAACAAACTGAAGGCCAGTCAGAGCTGCTCAATAATACCCTATCTCAAAAACCAAAACAACGAAACACGAACTAGTAAAAATTCTCTACTCAAGAGAGTGACATTCAAGTGTGTCTTTTTTTTCCTGTGCTAGGTAGGCATGTGCTCTTCACAGACCTTGACCCCTGGTCCTTCAGGGCTTGTTATTGTTACTGTTGGTTTTGTTTTAAGCAGGGTTGGTGTCTCTCTCTCTCTGTCTCTCTCTCTCTCTCTCTCTCTCTCTCTC